TCATCTGTCCAAGGATGATACAATGCTGTGCCTTGTATAGCACAGCATTGTGAGTCTAATTCTGATATGAGAATAAGAAGAAAGCATGGTGCAAGGACTGTATCTTGAGGTACAGAGCTTTTTAACTGTTCTTGGACTCGATTTAATATGGTTGACGTTACTCTTTGTGTTCTTTTTGACAGAAAACTGATATCCAGCGTCCTATTTTACCAGTTATTCCCATTGACCTCATTTTGTGTGCTATCACTCCATGGTCAAATTTGTCGAATGCGTGTTTGTGAAATCCGTGTGCTATACACCACATCTGCATTCCCTTTTTCTTCTAATGCCTCAGATGATTTTGTCGTAATGGTCAAGTAGCTGTGAGAGGCATGATCTTCCCTCTGTAAATCCATGTTCGCCTGGATTGTTGAGATCATTTGTTTCCATGAAACTAGTGACCTGACTCCTGATCAATATCTCAAATACTTTTATTATGTGGGACGTTAGTGGAACTGGTCTATAATTCTTGCCAGTGCTTGGCTCCCTCTCTTGTGTAGAGGGGCTATGTCTGCTGTTTACGCGCATCTGGTATCTCTCCGCCGTGTCCAATCTCTCCTACTTACTATACCTGAGTGCCTGTGCTAATGTCACTTTGCATTTCTTTATAAATATTAATGTCCATGAGTCTGGACCCGGGACTGAGTGCATGGGCTTATTGTAAAATTCTCTTTCAAAATGTTCCATGCTCGTGTTGATATTGGTTATATTTACAGGGTTTGGGATATCATGCATAAAGACGTTGTCCGGATTTTTTTACTTTTATGCTGTGTATCTGAGTGCTAAACATATCCTCATACAGCTTTTTTAGGATTTCACTAATTTGTAAATTAGTGTTATGACAAATTAGAACTTTGTCATCCTCAATGTATGAACCTTCACTAATACAAATAGGTCCAAAATTGGCAGTGATATTTTCTATTGATTTAGCATAAATGAAGAAATATTTTGGGTTTTTTTCTTTATTTCTTGAATTGCGTTTTTTGTCTAGTTGCCTCTCTTCAATCTGATATGAATGCTTCAGTCTCTGTTTTATTTCTACAATCTCCCTGTTTAAATTATTCCTTCTTTGTATGAAAAGTTTTCTGCTTATCATTTCCGTTGTGTTTTTTACTTTTTTTGTAGTGTCGCCTGCGTTCTCTTTTTACGTTGGACCTCTTTTCTGGCTTTCCTCAAAGGAAACATGTTTTCAGACAGACTTCATAGGCTTCAGAAGTCTGTTTTTCTATTCTTTGTGTATGATGTTTATTACTTAGAACACATTCCTATTGAAAGTTTTGTAAGTTCCTCATTTATTTTTGCCCAGTCTATCCATTTATTATTAATATTAAAATTGGATTAAATTGAATAACCCTTCTTCACTTGTTGTTTTTCTCTTAGGCCTACTACCATTATTACTGTTTGTTTTCACTTCAATGTTGTCCGAGTACGTAGTGTTTGAGGACAGTAATGTCTCTGATTACTCATCATGTTTTTGTAAATATCAGGTCCAGCGTGTTTTTCGTTCTTAGTTGGTTCTGTAATCTGCTGACTGGGCGAGAATTTGTCACAGAATCTAAGTAGTTCTCTGACCTTAGTTGGTTATTTCCAGGTTGATTTCCTGCTATAATGTTATTTTTACTATTCTCCATTTTAAAATGGGCAGATTGAAGTCTGCAAAGAAGATAATATCGTATACTGGGTTTGTTAAGTTATCAAGGATATTCTCTATTTTGTGGATTTGCTCAGTTAATTTCTCAACTGTTGCATCTTGCAGTTTTGTATATTAAAATAATAATTAAATTCATATTTTCAACCCTGATTCCTAAGTACTCTAACACCTCATTAGTTGAGTTCAGGAGCACTGTTCATGCCAGTCCTCTTTAAGATACAGACCTACTCTTCCACCTGACCTTATTACTCTGTCACATCTATATAGATTATAATTTGGGATCCAGATTTCACTATCCATGTGGTCTTTTGTGTTGAATGATTTGCTCATTCAAATCATTCATTCATCATTTGCACATTTATTTGATCATGTAATAGAATGATTTCCCATATTGTGTGTCACTTCTGGTGAGCTTAGGTAGTTCTACATTATAATGTAATTATACTGTAATGCACAGTTTTATCAGAACCCAAATTATCTTTATTTTTCAGTCCTGAGAAACGCTTTACAGCGATTATGTCCCTCATGTAATATTTCGTGAACATTAATAACATGTCTGCAAGTGTGGCAATAGGCTTTTTGATGTCAAACGTAAAGCTCAGCCGGAAAGCCAGGCTCAGGCAAATATCAAGAGATCAGAAAAGAAAAAACATATACCTTTTGTACATGGTAGCTCACGTATATTTTTATTCACAATGTTTAATATGGAAATAACTAACATATAATTGATTGATTTAATTTTATTTAAAGGAAATATTTTACTCCCTTTCATATTTTTGTAAAGATTACCAACATATATTGTCAAATGAGCATTTATGTCATCTGCATTTAAAATACAGCTTTCACACACTTCACGTATTTGTGTGTTGGATAATATCATTTTCCAGCTTTACATAGAATATTTGTGTTCTTTATCTATGTTCAGATGAGTTGCATAAAAGTGTGCAAGATTTACAACACCAAAAGAAATTGAAGGAGATGGAAAAGGAGATAACAAGGCTTCGAGCAATTTATGATTCCCAAAATAACAACCCAAAAAGCGGACAATTATGTACACTGGCATCTCATCTAGAAAAAGCAGAGCTTTAGGTATTAGTAATATTGTCAACAGTTAAAATATACTCACTAACTGCTCTTAATGTAATTATAAATAACTTGTTATAGTAATATATTTTTTACTGTTTTTTTCTATTACTAGGCAAAGCACCATCAACTCCTTTCCCTTGCAGTCATGAAGTAATGAAGCCTCCAGTTTCTGTTGTAGACGTTATACCCCAAAATAGCAATAGTATGTTATGAAATTATTTTAGAGAGAGATACAAATATAAATGCATTGCCATAGTAACCAAGGACTAGTTTGCAATAACAGTGTGTGTGTGTATATATATATATATATATATATATATATATATATATATATATATATATATATATATATATATATATATATATATATGTCGTACCTAGTAGCCAGAATGCACTTCTCAGCCTACTATGCAAGGCCCGATTTGCCTAATAAGCCAAGTTTTCCTGAATTAATATATTTTCTCAATTTTTTTTCCTATGAAATGATAAAGCTACCCATTTCATTATGTATGAGGTCATTTTTTTTTTATTGGAGTTAAAATTAATGTAGATATATGACCGAACCTAACTAACCCTACCTAACCTAACCTAACCTATCTTATAGGTTAGGTTAGGTTAGGTAGCCGAAAAAGTTAGGTTAGGTTAGGTTAGGTAGGTTAGGTAGTCGAAAAAACAATTAATTCATGAAAACTTGGCTTATTAGGCAAATCGGGCCTTGCATAGTAGGCTGAGAAGTGCGTTCTGGCTACTAGGTACGACATATATATATATATATATATATATATATATATATATATATATATATATATATATATATATATATATATATATATATATATATATATATATATATATATCAAGAAGTCAACACCAGCAATCAACAGCCAATTAATGCACAACTATCTACTACCCACCTCAAGACTCCGCTCCAATTAGAAGCATCAAGAAATATGGACCAATAGGCTTTCTACAAATCACTTCCATTCAATCCCCATTGTTTCGTGTTCTGTCTTGGTGTTAGGAATTTAATACCCTATTAATACCACCTCACCCCCCATCCTCTCACTCAAATGTAGATATAAACAAATCGAAGATGTGTAAGTTCTATTCAGTTGTGTATGTGTAAACCAAGTCTTTGAAAATGTAATAAGTTTTACGAAACGCGCTCAAAGTGTCGCGTCAGACTAGAAATAAAAATGAATTTTGGAGAATTGATTTTTGAATTACCACCAACAGTGAAAAGAAATGTACGAAAGATCGAGAAATTCGTGTTAGAATTATTAATTCTATATTATATATATATATATAATATATATATATATATATATAGATATATATATATATATATATATATATATATATATATATATATATATATATGTATATATTATAATATCATATATGGCTATCCTCTCTGAAATTGCAGGGGAAAGGACTTGGGTCCTTGATGTATGTAGGGTGGATCATAGTAGGCTTAATTTAAATGCCTTATAAAGACCCCTAGGCCATTTTCTTTAGTCATTCCTGATGCAAGTGTCCTGTCAAGGGTGTGTAGATAGTTGAATAAATATGGTTGTAGGTAAATGGATAAAGGGGTAATATTATAAACACATTTGTAAAAATAGTATTATAAATTTTAAATACTGAATATATATATATATATATTATTTAAATTTATATATAAAACAAATTTTGGGTTCAAAATATTGACTTATAGTTTGGAGTGAAATTTAAAATAGCTAAAGAATATCCATGATGAGGCCTTCCCAAGCCCTCAGATACTAAGCGGTCTGCCAGACGATCCAGATGAGTGGCCCATCCCGGACCCAATCTACACCAAATGACGAATAAAGAAATAAAAAAAAAATAAAAAAAAAATAAATAAAAAAAAAAAAAATAAAAAAAAAATACATAAATAATAAAAACCACCTACAAAAAAATATAAAACCAAAAACCATTTGTCGTGGCGTCAGAAGTGTAACTACCCTGATGTTTCTAAGATTAGCCTCCTTCAGCAACTCCATCGGCTCTAGTGCTTTAGGACACCAACAAGGTCACAAACACTAGCCCCCCCAGCTAATGTACTGACAACCCAACATAACACATACACAAAACAAACACACATACAAAATGTCAACCCATGGTGGACAGGCCACCGAACTTTCAAACCTCCTCTCTCTCTACACCCGCATCCTCTTCCTGAATTTCATCTCCCCATCCCTCTACCTCCCCCATCCTTTCCATTCCCTATGGACATCAATCCGAATCTAAAGAATATAGTCTAAAAATCAGTGTAAGATTATAATTAAAGTATAATAATTTCAGCCGCTGCCGAACTTGCTGCAGAAATAAAAAAAATCCAAGAATCGCAAGTGAAGATTTCTCAATGGCAGCAAAGAAGAATGAAGGCTGAAATTTCTTGGGAAGAAAGTCGGTCAGTTCTATTTGAGTGGGAGGTGTGTAGGCACGCTGTTCCAGTTGAAGGTACATACACAATACTTATAAACATATTGTCTATTTCCATCACCATATCAGTTTACATTACAACTTATTATATTTGCATTTTTTTTAGTTATATTTTTTGAATAGAGAGTGGATACTTCGTTTTAAATATACCTGAAGCATTTTATCACTAATGAAAAATGTTTATGTATACTTATAGACCATATTTTTTTCCTAATTCTGCATGATCTGAAACTGTACAGAAGTCTTTTTTGACAAAGATGCGATATTTTTGAAACATATGTTTTCAAATATTTTCATTTGACAGACACAAAATGCTTCAAATGTATGATTGAAGCCAGCATCAAATGTGAAGATTGTCATCGCCTATTCTGCTACCACTGTGATATGAAAAAACATTTTTTTAAACCCATTCCATGATAGGTTTTCCTGGGCCAGTGGATATTATGAAGCATTGCCACCAACTGTGACTGTTGACCTTAATGGGACATTTCCTGACTGGCGTATGTAAAACCATAAATTCTTTACATATGAAAACTTTTTCTTTTACCAAGCCTTTACAATATAAGTACCAAAATATTGAAAGAAAAAATAAATACATTTTTACTAATAAGCAATTCAATTTTTATGACATTTGATTTACTGAATATTATTTAAATATGCAATTTTGCTAAGTTTATTATTATTTTCTTATTCAGAACCTGTTGTGCCAGTTCCTGTGCCAAAAATTTCCTGTAACTGTAAAGACTGTAACCTTAACATAAAGAGTTCTGACATCATGTGTACTTTCATAATGCTCTCAGGTATATTTTTATTTAATATTAAGTTTGAACACATAAGTCTAGGAGTATTTGCATCACTGAATATAGTAGCATCACTGAAGTTCTAGTGACGATACCCATACCAAGCATGTGGACTTCAATCTTTGAGACACACAAACATATCCATTCAGTGATGGAGATGAGTTTTACAAAAGATTCGAAATAAGCTGCTTTATTTTAGGAATAAATACTAAAACTAAGCTTTCTAGGCAGTATGACCTTTATCTGCCCATATTTGAGTATCAAGTGTGTGGATACGCCTTCCTGCAGATGCTAAGATGTTGTATGATGATGGATACTTCTGCTCATCAGCCAGGAAAAGTAACACATTCTTCAGCCACCAAACTCCTGAACAACTGGCATTTTCTTAAAAGGAACAGTCCAGGTTTATCAATGAAATCATTGTTAATAGCGCTCCAAGCGCTTTGCTCTCATAATGGAAGAGTAAGTATTTATTAATTTTATATATGTAATGTAAGTACCAGTATACATTAAACTGTATATAATAATACATAAAAATAGAACCCACTCCACACATTCTCTTGTGCCACTTACATGTACAAAACCTTGTTCCTAAATGCACATCCTGATCTGAAACTCTTCCTTGATAGATGTAAAGGATCCCATAATCACCACACCAGAAATCAATATCTCTCTGATATCCCCCGAGTCAAACTAAATCTGTGCAAACTCTCTATGCAAATAAAGTAATTGGTTATTGCTCCCTATTGGTAACTCTTTATTGAATTAAAAGCTGTCCAGCTGTTCAAAACATTAATAAATAAATAAATAAATAAATTTATTTAGGTAAGGTACATACATACAATAAATTTTTACAAAGATTGGTTGACTTATAGGTAGAGCTAGTACATACAATACCTAAAGCCACTATTACGCAAAGCGTTTCGGGCATGATAAACTTAAATGACAAGCTTAATACTAATTGAGCATACTGAGTAGAATGAAAACAAGAAATGAAAACATAGATGAAAAAGCAGCACAATACAATTATGTCGACAAACAGCGCTCTTTAAAGAAAAAACAGACATTGGTTGACAATAGAAGGGTAAGGTAGGTTACAGGGAATTTATTAGGTATAGCTTCGTTTTTAACTTAAACTGGTTGAGAGAGGTACAGTCTTTAACATGGTTGGGAAGGTCATTCCACACTCTGGGCCCCTTGATTTGTAGAGCATTTCTAGTTTGATTAAGTCGTACTCTAGGAATATCAAAACTGTATTTATTTCTGGTGTGGTGCTCATGGGTTCTGTTACAACCTTCTATGAAGCTTTGAGATCAGGATTGGCATTATAGTTTAGCGTTTTATATATTTATAATACACATGAGAGAATGTGCAGTGACTTAATGTCTAACATATTCAGAGATTTGAGTAGGGGTACCGAGTGATGTCTGGGGCCAGAATTGGATATTGTCCTAATAGCAGCTTTGTGTTGAGTAATTAGAGGACGTAAGTGATTTTGGGTAGTAGAGCCCCAAGCACAAATACCATAGTTGAGATATGGATAGATAAGGGAGTAATAGAGAGTCACCAGGGCAGGGCGTGGTACATATATCTGATCTTAGAAAGAATGCCCACAGTTTTTTGAAACTTTTTTTGATATATTTAGAATGTGCCCCTGGAAATTCAGCTTGTGGTCAATGAGAATGCCAAGGAATTTGCCATCTAATTTGTTACAAATTTGGGTATTGTTTATTTTGAGATTTATTTGATTAGAGGATTTATTGCCAAACAGAATATAGAAAGTTTTGTCAATGTTAAGGGTGAGTTTGTTGGCAGTTAGCCACAGATGGACTTTATTTAGCTCAGTATTTACTGTGGTATTTAGAGCAAGGGGATCAGGACTGGAGTAAATGAAGGTTGTGTCGTCAGCAAATAGAATTGGTTTGAGGTGTTGGGAGGCATTTGGAAGGTCATTAATGTAGATGAGAAAGAGGAGAGGGCCAAGTATGCTGCCCTGGGGAACACCAATGTTGATGGGTAGGGTGGGAGAAATTGTATTATTCACAGAAACATATTGGAGCCTGTCAGTAAGGTAGGATTTGAGGTATTGTAGGGAGTGTCCTCTGACTCCATAATGATGTAATTTAAGAAGAAGGTTTTGGTGGTTGACAGTATCAAAAGCTTTACGCAGGTCCACAAATAACCCAACAGGGAACTCATTTTTATCAAGAGCTGTATGAATCGAGTTAAGCTTACTAATAAATGCATCGTTAGTGCTTTTTTTGGGTCTGAAGCCATATTGGCAAGGGCTAGTATATTGAGTTTGGCTAGATATGAGTAAAGCTGCTTATAGATTTAGTTTTTCAAAATTTTTTGACAAGTTTGGCAGGATTGATATAGGTCTGTAGTTGTTAACATCTGTGAGATCACCACATTTGTGGACAGGCGTTACTCTCACTTTTTTTTAGAATATCTGGAAAGGTTTGGAGTTCAAGTGACTTGTTGAAGAGCAAAGCAATAGCAGGGGCTAAGATCTGGAGGCTTTTTTGTAAATTAAAGTTGGTATCTCCTCAAGGGCACCAGACTTGGTTTTAAGGGAAAGGATTATCTCATTGACGTCAGTGGAATAATAGGCTTTAGGTACAGAGACTGGGATAGTTACCTGTAAGATAGTCCTTAATGTCAGTACTGGAAGATGGAATATCATTTGCAAGGGATGAACCAATGGAAGAGAAGAACCTATTGAACTCAATAGCAGAATCAGAGGCTGAAAGCTGACCATCGTTATTAGACAGGAGAGTCGGTTTGTTATTTAAAGACTTCTTTGATCCCAATATTTGTGAAATTGTTCTCCAATTTGTTTAATGTTGCTCTTTATTTAGGTAAATTTATCTTCGTAGTATTTAGTTTTGACTCGTCTAATTATCTTAGATAGCAATAATGAGTAATTCTTTGAGAATTCTTTGGAGACAATTCCTAACCTATACTTCTTCTCAAGGTCATGTTTTTTATTAATAGATTTAAGTATTCCCTTTGTAAGCCAGGGATTGTTAAGCCTTTGGTTGTGACTTGTTTTGTAAGCATAGGACAGTGGGTATTATAAAGGCTAAGAGTTTTTTTGAAGAAAAGATTGCACTGCTAGGTTGATGTCCTCTATGTTACCTAACTCGGACTCCCAGTTGACATTATCAGCAGCAGTTATAAAATTGTCTATAGCAGTTTCATTGTGTAGTCTAAAACGTATCTCTCTTGACTCAAGAGGTGGTTTGCTAATGTTAGTTAAGAGAAATGTGGGGTAATGGTCTTTAGTGCTATCGGTGATTATACCTGAAGTAAGCGGAGAGGTTATGTTTGTCCAGATGTGATCAGGAGTCGTGGCAGTGCTATCAGTGATTCTAGTAGGTCTAGTGATTAAGGGTATGAGGAAGCAGGAACTCATACAGTTGAGGAAGCTAACAGCAGTAGGGTGTTCTGGCTCGCAGAGGTCAATATTAAAGTCCCCTGCGATAATTAGGTGGTATTTGTTCAGTCTGTTATCAAGTATTAGATTTTAAGGTTGAGTTGAATTCGGACACATCAGTGTTAGGAATTCTATAAACTGCACCCACCGACAGGAAAGACTCGGCACCCTTGACTCTGAAGCTGGCGAAGATATACTCCCCATAGCAGTCTCTAGTTCTAATTTTCTTTAAGCATGTTAGTTCTTGGTGGTAGTAAAGAGCAGTGCCACCACCTCTCTGAAGTAGACGACAGTTGTGAATTGCTGAGTAGTTAGGCATGTTAAAGAGTTGAGTAGTATCCTCTTTCAACCATGTTTCAGTAAGTGTAAAAAAGAGAATTTGTTGTCAATAGCTTCAATCAAGGTACTAACATCATCGAAGTGTTACCTAGGGATCTAACGTTCAAATTGATTACAGAGATTATTCAAAAGTAAACTAAAAAGCATTAATTTCATCCTCATAGTTTCCTACGTAGTTCTTCAAACTTGCAACTGTACTTGTGCTACCCCACTCCCCCAATATATATGGCTAACTCATGCAACTTGCATGGCTTAGCCACATCATGGGCCTAGTGCTGGGAACTAGGTTCCCAGCACTAGGCTGGGAACAAGGTTCCCAGTACTAGGCTGGGAACCAGGTTCCAGTACTAGGCTGGGAACGTAGTTGTTCAATCTTGCACTATAACTTGTGCTACCCACTCCCCCAATATATGGTGCTAATCCATGCAAATTCTATATCCAGTATATATTTCAGGATGGTTGCATCAACTTTGAAGCTGCTAAAAGAACATTCAGGAGTGGAGATTTATGCAGTATGAACTTGCAATGTCCAAAGCTACAATAAAACCGTGTGCCCTGCTTGTCATACTAACCCATTTGCCATACATATTGATGGCAACAAAAAGTTATTCCGATATGAAAAAGTTGGAAGGTACAGTTCTTAAATAATTTTCCTTTTTTTGTAAAATAAATTTTTATTTTTCAACAATTAATACATTTCTATTAGGGCAACTTATATATCACAATACAATATTCGTTATGTAAATATATCAATATCTGAAAAATTCTTACATGCAATACATAATAGCGTTATTCATGTATTACAACATTAAGTAATATATATTTACACAATCATCAAAATTTAAAACAAATCAATGTAAATTATGTAAATACTGTCATTTTGTTTCTTTCAGAGGATTGAGGGAATCATATTATTCAGAGAGTGTCTTTGCTGCTGACAATGATGTGACTAATCACCTGAACCATATAGAGCTTAAAAACAAAGGTAAATATTATGTGTACAGACTTTGTAAACTGTATATAAATTTTATATTTTTATTTATATACAAGGCTTTTTACATTCTTGTACAGCCACTAGCACGCATAGTGTTTCAAGCAAGACGTTAATCCCATGTTCTCCAGAATATGACCCCACCAAATCCATTAACAACCAGGTACCCATTTTACTGTTGGGTGAACAGGGGGGAGGGCCATAGTTAGGGTTGATGGCCCAGTAAATCTTCCAAGGCCAGGATACAAACCCAGGACAAAGCGCTCGTGAAACGCCAGGCGAGTGTCTTAAACCACTACACCATTGGGAAAAGACAGTCATGATGTCTTACAGTTTACAGAGTTAATATATATATTATAACAAGTAGTTAGGTTTTAAAACCCACAGGCAAGTCAACAAGTAAAACATAGAATACTCAACGTTTGTCAAGAGCTACATGCACCATATAAATAGTGATTTTTGGGGTCTGAAGCCATATTGAGTAAGATGCTATATTTCTGTTTTTCTATATCACTTTTATATAACCCATCAGGTTAGGGGTCTTTTCATAATTTATTATATATTTTATATATACTGTATTTATATAATATAAACTTACTCATTATGGTAATGGACAAATGGAAGTCCATGCCTAATTTATATTTTTAAGATAATAATATTAACAAGATACCTTAAAAATGATTACATATGATTGCATTGTTGTTGCATAATACATGTATCCTACAATGACAGATTTGTTCATGTTCCTTATTAAATAATTTACTTTATATTTTATTTTTTAATATTTTAAGTTACTCTTCAAGAAAAGAGAAATGCTGCAGAAAAGCTGCATATGTACAACAGGATTATGGAAGAACAAAATGTCATTCAACTGGAAATGAAAAGTTACTTGGATTATACAGAAAAAAGCTTGAAGAGATAACACAAAAGACTAGATGATGTACAAAACAAAAGTGCTCCACCCTCTTGGATAATTGAAGTTAGTATCAGGTATTAATATTAACTTAAATACTCTACTGAAATAAATGTTGTTGCATTATAGCTACTTGGTAATTATTTTAACAGGTGCTTAATCATTGTTGTTTGTGTCTAAGCTAAGTAAAATTAGTAAAATCATTTTGTAGACACAAA